TTGGCTGTTGTCGGGAGGCCTCCGGCACTGGGCGTCACCCCAGACCCCTGGAGTCCGAGGCGGGCGGGCCTGGGCTCTTTGCGCCAACCTGCTAGTCCTAGGCCAGCTCCAGAGACCCCAGTTCCCTCCTTCTTCCGTGCTCAGAGCAGAGACTGAGGCCAGCAGCCTGGGTTCCTGGAGACCTGGCCAAAGACACCATGCCCCAACCTTCCCCCATGCTGGAGAGCAGCTATCACCGAGCCCCGCTGCGCGCAGACCCCGTGCCAAGCACGTTACGTACAGTGTGCCATTGACTCCTCCCAAAAACCCTATGAGGAAGTGCTGTGATTAGTCCCCTCACAGATGAGGAATCCGAGCCTCCCAGAGGAGGGACTTGCCCCAGTCACGCCCCCAGAGTGTGGGCAGGGCCAACATCGGAACCAGGCCAACACCAGGCGCCCGAGGGCCTGGGTCTCAGACTCCGGAGTCCCCTGGCTGGCCCCACCCGGGGTCACACGGGCCTCCCACGTCCACGTCCTGCCGGGAGCCTGGTCAACCTGCCCGGTGGCGGGGCTGCCTCCTGAGAGGACAAAGGCGCTGCTCAGGTGGCCTGTTTCCTGGCCGTGACACAGAACGTGGCCTGTCCCCCCAGAGGGCCTGGACACAGCCAGCATTGTCTGCCCGGAGGTGTCGGGTGCCGGAGCTGCCGACACCATGCCCGTCACCTGAGCTGCTCGCCCCAGCTCCCACCCATCATGCCCCAATCAGGCAGGGCCTCCAGGTAATGTAGGGCCAACCCCTGAAGGAGGAGCCGCGGGACCGAAGACAGTGCTCCCCACACTTGTCAGGAAGGCTACCAAGGGCTCCAGGCCTCCTGGGCACAGCTTGGGGCCGACAGGGGGGTGACGCGTTATCACATGTGGGCCCCAGCTCGCAGAGCCGCAGGGCCCGGCAGACCCTGGCTTCTCGTCCCAGGCAGCCCGGCTGCCCCAGCCACCCTCCCGGCCTCACCCCCTTCCCTTGTCGCTTTTGGGGGGATGCCCTGAAGAGGCTGTGCCTTCAGGAGGACTTTTCAGCAGAGGCAGGACTCAGCAGGACTCAGATCCAAGGACAGGCCTCGCTCTCCCAGGCCAGCTTGGGTAAAGGTTGCTAAGGAGCGAGGAAAGTCCAGGCGGAGTCCCGGGCCTCTGTCCTGGGAGGCAGGCAAGTTGCCTGGTTTGCCTTGGAGCTGAGTGTGGCCTCAGTACAATGACAGCTTTGTCTCCTCTGTCCCTGCTCCTACCTGCTCGGCAACCCCACACCTCCCTCCTCCTGTGCTCCCTCTTCCTTCCTCCCTGGCCCAGGGGGCGGGAAGAAGACAGTGTTTGTACCTGGATGGACCTGCTGGTCTCCTGGGAGGCCAGAGCCAGCCATTCATTCAGGACAGGGGTGGAAGAGGCATTTCCCCTGCTGGGACAGGACCTTGCAGGCGGGGGGGACGGGGGATCCCTCAGGGGAGGGCAGAAGCCACCCAGGCCCAAAGGGAGCCACCTCTCCAGGATCCTACTCAGAAGCCTCGGTGCGCCCCGTGTGCTCTCTCAGGTCCTTCCTCCCCCTCCAGGCCCCAGAGAGGAGGCGGGTTGCCATGGCGTCTGTCTCCATGCCGCCTGCCAGCTCCCCGGAGTCCCACAGCCCTGTCCCCTGGCAGCCAGAGGCTGCCACTTGGAATGAAAGGTGGAAAGGAAACCCTTCACCGTGGGGCGCCGGACTGAGAGTCTCTTCTCGCCTCAACACCAGAGTAAACCCAGGCCCTCACTCCGGCCTCCCTCCACGTCCCCATCCTGCCCACATCATGACCACGCTGCTGCGCCCCCCGCTTTGATCCGTCCCTCCCACACCCAACGGTCTCCCAAAGGCCTACAATGGGGGTCCAGGGAATACAGCAGGATCCAGGGAACAGGAGACAGAAGGACGTAGAAACAGAGTCAGACAGATCTGGGCTCAAATCCCAGCTGTCAGCCTCCACACGCATGCCTTGGGTGAGCCACACCACCTCTCTGAGCCTTTGCTTCCTCATCTGTGAGTGGGGCCGTCGTGGGGTGCACCTCACGTGGTTACTGTGGCAGGATAATGCATGCCCGGGGCTCAGCCCAGTGCCCGCCACACAACACACGCTTGAAAGTGGGAACTGCCAGCATAGATAAGTGCAACGCAGTGCGGGCTTCAAAACAGAGACCCATTCGAGGCATCACATGGCCTCACGAGGGTCAGAGACAGCTCCTCCAAGAGGAAATTTACGCTGGGTCTTGAAGGATGAATAGGAGTTCGGCAGCAGGAGGAAGCGGGTGGGAAGGAAGGAGAAGGCTGCGCAAAGGCAGTGAGTTGTTCAACTGCATGGCATGGCTGGAGAGCTGCTGAGGAAACTAGGGGGTCTGGTGAGGTCAGAGGCCCAGTTTAGACTTGCAGTTTAGAAAGCCCCCCGGGGTAGGGGGCCTTTGTGGAGCGTGGCTGGGAAGGGACAGGAATACAGGCAGAGGACCAGTCAGGAGGTTATCACGAACTTCCAAGTGGGAAATCAGAAGAGTCTGGGGCAGGGCTGCAGGAGCAATGGAGAAGAGCATCTGGACCCTTGAGAGGCATCAGGGGCCCCCGATTAAGTAAAAATTGGGCACGGCTCTTGATTCTGGCATTCAAGGCCCGCTTATCTATACCCTTGCCAACATTCAAGGCCCGCTCACCCATACCCTTGCCAACGTGCTGTCAGCGGCCTGCTGACCCCCAAGAAAGCCCCATCAGTCACTCTGGCACCTCCACGTGGGCTGTTGGTCCAGCCTGCAGCACCCTCCCTGCCCTGTTCTCATGCACGCATCACACGCCTCCTGCAAGGCTCTGACCTGCACGGCTTTCCCCCTGGACTTTCCCATCACTTACTGTCATGACCACTTAGCATGCCATGCCTTGGGTTGAAACTCAGGGACCACCACCCTCTGGGGGACTTCATAAAAAACAAACACAACCAACGCACAACTGTTAGCAACACAATGGTCTGAGCATGTCTGGTAGGCCAAGGGGTTGGCTTAGATGGTCTCTAAGACACTTCTGGATCCAACCTTCCGTGATCCTGAGCTGTTAAGGAAATGACGGACTTACAATGAAAGCCTCATTCTCCCTCAATGACTAGGGCTCCTGGGTTTCAGTTTCCACCTCGGTAACACGAGGAGGCTGCATTTCTCCGAAGAGACACTATGGCAGTTTACTCAATCAGTGAGTCGTTGGGGGGAGAGACCAAGCACTTGGGTTAATCCAATATTCTGGCTAAGTGAAAGTCCCTGTATGTACTATCAATGAGTTTTTGCAACGACTCGGCCATCAGTAAGAGAAGAAAGCCATCCTAAAACCCCAGGGAACAGAACAATCTGTCTCTGATGACTCAGGCCTCTGACAGCTGCGGAAAGCAGAGGACGCAACCGACAGAACAGAGCTTGGGAGGGGTCCTCTCTCTGCCAAGGCAACACAAGAATGCCGAACAGTGCTCCCAGCAAACAGCAGAGCGTCTGGTGCTCCTCGAATGCCAGTGTGGTGCAAGCCTGGGCTGGGAGCGTGCCAGCAGCCGTACTCCGAGCCCCGGAGGATTAGCGCTCCGGGGGCTATCTGCGGCAGGGGAGCTCAGTAAACCTTCCGCTGGCTTCATGACCCCGGCTACTGTGGGTGTCCAGCCCCCGAGAAACGGATGGCCTTTCTTCCTGAACCTGGGAAGGCATTTCTCCAGCTCGCTTCCTCCGTCCTGCGCAAGCCACCCTCAGCGCTGGAGCCACAGGTGGGGGCCATCGGACTCCTTCTTCTCGCTGCGACAGCCCCAGCACAGCGGCTGGACGGACCCCCAACCCAGACGCCAGGGGTGGGAGAGGGGTGCTGCCCCAGGCAAGCAGGCCGGCGCTGGGGGCTGCGACGGCCGCCACGCCACAATCTTCAGCGACTAGACTCAGATTCCGGACCTGGGTGAGCGTGGAGCCTGCGTTGGTCTTCAGACCCCCCAGAGGATTTGCCTCTGGGCCTGCTGAGCGGTGGGCTCAGGCCTCCTCATCACCTGCAGAGGCTCCCCTTGTATCTGTTCCACATACGGAAGGCCCTGCCGTGAGACTGCTTCTCTGAGAAAGGTTTTGCAGGCTTAACTGCGTACTATGTATTTTCCACAATGAGCTACTTCGCGTCTAGTGGGATGGCTATCATCAGACAGACCAAGACGAGCGTGGGCGAGGCTGTGGAGGAACTGGAGTTCTCACGCACTGCTGGTGGGAAGGTAAAGTGGTGCAGCCGCCGGGGAAAGCAGCACGGCAGCTCCTTGGAACGTTAAGCGTAGGGTTAACGTGTGACCTGTCAATTTCCCTGCTAGGTCAATATCACCCGGAGCATAGGAAACCGGGGTGCAAACAAGAACTCGTTCGGCAATGTTCATAGCCACAGCATTCCGCACGGAGGGAAACAACCCAAATGCCTGCCAGTGTCCAACGAATGCATAAATAACATGAGGGATAGGTAGGTAATGGAATATCACGGAGTCAAAAAAAAAAAAAAAAGGCAGGAGGTACGGACACCTGCTACAACATGGATGAACCTCGGAAGACGCTAAACGAAAGAAGCCAGATGCAAAAGGCCACACGTTATATGATTTCATTTATATGAAATGTCCTTGGCAGGCAAATCTATAGAGACCGAAAGCAGACGAGGGGTTGCCAAGGGCTGGGGGAAGGAGGAGCAGGCGAGGACCGCTGGCAGGAGTCTCTTTTGGGGATGATGACAATGTTCTGGAATTAGACAGTGGTGATGGATACACGCCTCTCTGGGTATACTAACCCTCCCTGGACTGTACATTTTAAAAGGGGGGATTTTATGGTGTGTGAATTATTATCACAATAAAAAGCACATTTTTAAACTGCCATAATATAGATTTTAAGCTATTTTTTTAATGCCTGTTTTTGAGGAAGTGAGCGTGAGCGGGGGAGGGGCAGAGAGAGAGGGGGACAGAGGATCCCAAGCTGGCTCTGTGCTGACAGTGCAGAGCCCCGAACTCACGAACCGTGAGATGGCCTGAGCTGAAGTCAGATGCTCAACCGACTGAGCCACCCTGGCACCGCCACGTAATATATATTTTACGTGAACAGTTGTAAAAGGACAGGGATGGTCCAAAGAGGGGAAGGGAATCACTGAGATGGCTCAGCCAGTTGCTGTGGGGTGGGAATAGAAGCGGCCCTCCGCCCTCCACCTGACTCAGGCAGCCGGGCCCGGGGGGCCTCCCTGGTGCTCCTGACCCTGGGTCAGCCCAGAGGAGACAGGAGACCGTGGCTGCCCCTTTGGAAGCTTTGCATATCCACCAGCCCGTCTGCGCCTCACCGGTCCCCTGCGCAGGGAGGCCCGGTGGAGACGGTTCCTACTGACACATGGGAAACCTGAAGCCGCAAAGGTGGCAAGATTGCCCAAGGTCACACCTTGGCCCTCCAGGTCGTAGGTGCCTGCATTTCTACCGCATCATGAAGGTCTCATCACACAACAGAACTGGGACACATATCGTTATGCTGCAGAAAACCACTTTCCCAGGAGACCCTGAGGCCGTGGTGTTGATGCGGGGGACGCCACCGAAACGGGAGGCAAGCAGAGCAAGGATGAGCGTTGAAAAAGAAATTCCTCCTGTGCCTCTCCCCAGCCAGCACCTCCAAGACCCCCAGGCCATGTGCCGTCCCGTATGGGGGGGTGGGCGGCAGGGGAACACTGGGTTCCATCCCCCCTGCCTGCCCGCACACACCCACGGGCAGGCGGGGGGAC